GCCTTTACCTGAACAGGTATAACTAACAAACCAACAGGTGGTTTGGAGTCAGAGTTTTCCTTCTCTTAGCCTTTACCTGAACAGGTATAACTAACAAACCAACAGGTGGTTTGGAGTCAGAGTTTTCCTTCTCTTAGCCTTTACCTGAACAGGTATAACTAACAAACCAACAGGTGGTTTGGAGTCAGAGTTTTCCTTCTCTTAGCCTTTACCTGAACAGGTATAACTAACAAACCAACAGGTGGTTTGGAGTCAGAGTTTTCCTTCTCTTAGCCTTTACCTGAAGAGGTATAACCTACAAGGCAGCAGGTGGTTTGGAGTTAGAGTTTTCCTTCTCTTAGCCTTTGCCTGAAGAGGCATACCCTGCAAGGCAGTAGGTGGATTTGGAATCAGAGTTTCCTTCTCCTATCTTGTGTGTTGGCAAAAAAACTAAGGCACCACAAGCAAGTGCCACACACAGCATGAGGACCAGGTCTACCAGAAGGGACGTATCCTTTGCCAGAGGGCCCTTTCTGGGGTAAGGTGCTACCTCTCTACTGCATGCGGTTGCAGTTTTACGTCGTAGCCAAGACATATATGTATATATATGACCTATATATATACATACAATGTTATGAATTTCAATGTTATTCAATTCAATTCAATTCAATTATTCAATGATATTCAATGTTATTGAAATTTTTATGACAAATTCTCAAGCTTCAGCCTACCTGGTGTGAAGGACATATGACGATGTGAACCTTAGCTTGTGGCCGGAATGGTTTTGTGAACTACGGTGTGATGACGTGTGGCTGGGGTGAATCCAGATTCTTTTTAAAAGGTCCTCTCCTTCTTGTATGGAGAAATTTTGCAGCAGTAATATTGGCACTGGTGCCATCACACACAATGCAGACAATGTGGAATTCATGTGCCTCAAATATCCGCATTGTTTCCGTCAATGAAGCAGTGATAAATTTGAATTCAAGTGCAGCTTTAGTTGCGTAGTAGGTCCCAATAACGTCTATTGCTGAAGTAAGGTCGTGCCATATATACTGTAAAATGTATTGTGCTGGAGTAATATTCCAGTGACGGTCCAATGTTTGATAAACGTCCTTGTGGGTGAGGACAACACCATATATTTGGTGGTTTTTGCTATTCCACATTAATTTCCCGATAACCTTTACCTCGTCGAACATTAATACACCTCCAGTTGGCAGAGGGCTTCCTTTATCTGTAGTACTTTCTTTTTGTATGCATGCCTGAGCTGCAGCTTGCAGTTTGCTGTGTGATGTGCCACTGGGCTCGAAGGCATCTTGCTTTTGTCTCTGGATTGATCTTATCGATGGTAGTTGAAGGATTTGTAGTTTTGCTAGAGCCCCATAGATTTTCGGGCTCCTTGAAAAAAAAGCGAGAGCTACAGTAATAACCCGCGTATAAGAACATGGATTTTTCCAAGTTAGCCTCAACATGTTCTTATATAAATGGTGCTTACTGAAAAATTAGGCTCAAAAGGTTCTTAAATAGGTTCTTAATTGTTTCTACTTTTAATATGTATAATCTTATACTTGATTTAAATTGTGTTAAAATTTTCTTACAAGAACTGCAATTTTTGCTAATTAATACCCATGATGGGCTACAGTGTAAGTTTTTCAGTGCTTCCCATACTGTATGATACAGTATGTATCCAAGGAAACAAAACAACATGCAAAAAGATGCGTGTCAAAAAGCTATAGATACAGCCAAGAGCAAAATGTATACAAGTCTACCAAATTTAATAGTGGTGTGTAGTACAGAGGTCACTCTAAAAAATCTATGAACCTATTAAATGAAAATTAAGAACCTACTTTAAAATCTTAGCCTAAAACAGGTTATTATGTAAAGGGGTCTAAATTGGAAATTTTAGCCTAACATCTTCTTAAAATCTATGTTCTGATACGCGGGTTATTACTGTATTCATCATCCGTCCAAGACGCATTTACATTGACAGCTACGAGGACTAGATCATCTTTTCCCACTGGAGATGAGTCATCATCCTCAACACAATTTCCCAAGTCAACATAACCTCGGAATTCATTCCTTCCTTCATCATTCATTCCTTGATCATGAATGAATGGTCCACATTGGCATAGTCTTTCTTGCTCTTATCCCATCGACGGGCTGCATCTACTGGCTCTGACCCAGCGTAGGTTGACATGAGAGTTACTGCCTTGGTATCTTGCCATTTTATGCAGACGATGTGCACAGTATTCACACGATAATCATATGACCCTCATCCTTGCTTTGCGATTTCCTTGTCACCGATCAACTGGCATTTGGCAAGACGATTTTTTCGAACAGTCCCAGTGTAGTGGAAACCCAGTTGCCTCATCTTTACGAGTAGTCCTGCTGATGTAAAGAAATTATCTCCAAAGACCTGGTAGTCCTTGTTTTTTGGAAGTGTTTCACAAAGTTTCACAATGACATCCCCACCTAATCCTGGTTCACTTGCTTTAGTCTTATCACCACCTTTCCCTTGGTAGATGTCAAAGTCATGTAGTAATCCACTATCAGAACACCTTGCCCACACCTTGAACCCCCAAGGATGAGGTTTCCCTTTTTTGTATTGTCTGATTTTACTGAATTTGCCTTTGTAGTGAACCATCATTTCATCAATTGACTGTTGTTGCTTTGGAGTTACTTGTATGCACTGTTCACGAAACATGTTGACAAATGGCCTTATTTTCCACAGTTTGTCTTTCCTATCATCATCTGTAGCTGCCTCATTATCCACAAAGTGAATTAATGTCAGTAATGTCTGAAATCTATTTCTACTCATGACATCTGCCACTGGCCCATATCGAGACTCATTCTTCCTGTACATTCTCACCGATGGCATTTCAACTACTCCCATGCGGAAGTTAATGCCTAAAACCAGTTCTATTTCTTTTACACATGTGCTGACACACTCCGTCTTTCTGTACACTGTACCTATTGGTGTATTCAACAATAAGTTCCAGCATTTCGTTGGTGACAAATCGGCGGAAATACATCAGTGGGGTTTGCGATATCCCCCTTAGGTCGGTTGGTTCCAGAGGCACTCCCTGAAAGTTGATTTTAGGTGGACGAGTCTTTTTCTTCCATTGAAAGTCTCTTCTATTGTTATTAGGCGTAGCCAGCTGAGCCAGCGGTATGCCGTCATCACTACTAGAATCACCTCCATTGCTGTCAGCGATATCATCAACACCAGTTTCAGCAACATAGGTCTCATCGTAATCACTGTCTTCAAGGTCGCTTCCAAAATCACTGTCGTCAGCACATACTTTATCTAATACTTCATTCAGGGAATAGGTTTGCACACGCTTAGCCATTCTGACTGCAAAATTCAATAGAAAAAAAGTTATAGTATAAACCAATATATTGCACATTTTAATTACCTAAAGCCCTGTGTTATATATTCAATATATTCAATATATGTGCAAATATATTATATATATATATATATATATACTAGCTTGTCTACCCGGCGATGCCCGGGGTAAAGGAGAAAAGAGCTAGAATTGAGTCTGCCATGACAGCTGTACTGACCTTATTCTGATTTTATAAATCTGTCCCAAGAATTTGACTTCTGTTCAGTTCTGCAGCGCTTCTTGGTACACAACATTGTTGGTGTTGCCATCTTGAGAGAGGATGTAGAGCTTGTCGGGGTTACCGACCCTGGAGCACCCCACACACACACCGACACCCCCATGCACCCGCACACACGCACACGCACGCACGCACACACGCACGCACACACGTGCGCACACACATACACACACACACGCATGCACTCGATGGATGCGCAGTGAATTAGCAGGAGGGTATATAGCGCGACAGAGCGGACATTTATGAAAATAATAAAAAAAATTAATTGTAATTTGAGATTTTTGTATTTTTGTGATTTTTTTTGGGCTAAAATGGTCATCGCGTCATGCTGATTGAGAATATATATGGTGTTGGGGGTGACCTTTTACGGGGGGGTGGGGGGTTAGACAGAAAAACAGACTCGCCCTTTATGTAATTGCCTAAATTGTTTTTGGCCTGAAATGGTCGTCGTGTCATGCTGCTAACGACAAGCACTGAGTGCATGCGGGAGAAAATAAGCAGCAAGTTGAGCATTTATACCTTTCAGCAGTAGTCGTGTACGACGCTTTGTCTCCTTCGAAGCTCATAATTTGTTTTAATAGTTCGACAATAGAGCTACAAAAATAGCGGTCTTAATGCAAACAACATGCACTCGATGGATAAGCAGTGAATGGCCGCAGTGAATTAGTAGGAGGGTATATAGCGCCACCGTGCGGACATTTATGAAAATTAAAAATAATTTTAATTTGAGATTTTGGTAGTTTTTTTATTTTGTTTATTTTTTTTGGCCTAAAATGGTCGTCGTGCTATGCTGATTCAGAATATATATGGTGTTGGGGTGACCTGTTACGGGGGAAAAGAAGATAGACAGACTGACAGACCGAAAAACAGACTCGCCCTTTATGTAAGAGATTGTAATATATATGTATATAAAATATATATATCGCATATATGTTTCATATATGTGCAAAATTCAATAGAAAAAAAGTTATAGTAGAAACCAATGTATTGCATATTTTAGCTACCTAATGCCCAATGTGTCATATATGACCCATGCACTTGAGGGCTCCCCCACGAGTAGTTGAAATCAAAACAAAGTATTTAAAATGGCATCTATATGACCTATGCTATCTAGAAAATTACTTTATGTGTATATAATTTATGATGCTTACCTTATCACGCAACAGCAGGCGACATTCAGTGTACGCAAATTTGATCTGCATCAAATCATGGGGGCTGCCATCTTGAAACTGCTCAAGGGCATTGTAGCGTTTCGTGTCTTTCCGCGACACCAGGGGGCGCCACCTGACAATACGCAGTAACTAGCAGTTTTACCTCACGTATAGTACAGTGCTACACGGTGGATAGTGGCAACGAGAAATACAAGATAGGTGTTCCTACCTTCGGTACTACCTAGGTGGTGCTACTGCGCTCACTCCTCCAGACCCAGCGTTCGTTCCGGCTTCGGTGTGGTTAGTCAACAATGCCAGACGACGGACGTCACGGGACAGACAGTGACACAAAACAACACGGCGCACCTTATGACGCGGGGCTACTCGAAAGATACGGATAATACTGTGACGTGTAGGGGAGGGGCAGCTGGCTGACGGGACACCCGTATGGCCACTCACACAAGGGACGCACTCAACGCCCGATGCCCCTAAAGCTGCTACTCGAGGGGATTAATAAATACGTCTGTTGACGTCTATCAAGTCACTATTAAATCTACTATTGCCGTTAACGTTATTATTATTATTAATTTACTATTATTATTACTCAGCCCCGACGGTGTGCCGAAAGAACAGCTCGCTGTACTCACTCTTTCTCGCTCCCGGTTCTCTCTCGGTGAGTCTCTCTCGCTCAAACCGTCGCACCTAACACGGCCGCTCGCACGCTGCGCGCTCGGCTTCTCTTCCTACCTCCTCTGCACTAAATCTCTCTCTCTCATAACTCTACAACTCCTCTGCACTTTCTTTATTTCCAACCTTCCCGCTCGCTCACTCAAAATACAACAACACGCTGGGTATGCACACGGCACACTTTTCGCCAGCTGTTTTTCTATGCTAGCCCCGCTCTCGAGCGCTAGAGGGGGTTACAATCGCGACTAATGGCAGCCCCCATAGAATCCGGCGGTGAGTGAGTAATTGCTGCAATACACTTAAAACTGCAAATACACTGCAACATAAAACCAATCACAAACACAACACTTACTCCCCCACCCTGGGGCAAACTCAACCCCGGCGAGCACTAGGCTCGCGGCAACCGGTACCACCGCCACACTCCTCCCCTCTTCAAGATCGACCCTCAGGTCGATCCCAAGATGCGCATGGCGGTGTACCGGGGCCTGACGTGAAAGACCTACTTTCGCGCCACATCACGCCTCTCCTGGCTTGCTCTCATTATCGCTCGCAGGACGGTGCGGGTCCTCGCCTCCAGGAACTCCAGGATGCGCCTATCCAGGATCTCGGCGCGACTTCGCTGGGCATTAGTCCAGGCCTGTGCCTGACGCAGCTGGAGGACTCCCATATAATCCATCCGGTCTAATGCTGGCCAGCCGTCCGGGTCGCTCAGGCCGGGGTAGTCCCACGCTGGGAGGTCGGCTGGGGGCTGGAAGAGCAACCCCAGAAACTCATTGACCTGCTCCGAGGTGATATTCTCGATAGGGTCGCCCTCAAGGGGTGCCCCAGGCATCTCCAGTGCGCGCATCGTCGCCAGCAGCCTCTCTGGGACTCCTGATGATGCGGGCACCTCTACCGCCAGCGGTGCCTCCACTGCTGTTGCCACCGGCCTCACAGGCGAGGTCGGCGTGGGCGGTACCTGGGAGATGGACGACGGTACTCGTCCTTCAGCGGCGGGGATCGGACGGCTCCTCGCCGGTCTCTCGGGCGGCACCTGCTCCCTTGCCGCTTGTCTTCCCGCCGCTCGCCTTCTCGATCGGTCGGGTGACATCCGCCGCCTGGATGCGGTGGGCGTCGCAGCTCCCGAGGCCTGCACTTTATGCCTCCTCTGCACTGGAAGGGTCGACTCCCGCTTCAGGGATGGCCAGGAAGCGGCTACATGCCTGACCGAAGCGCCCTCCACCACAGACGCATATGGCCGCCTGTCTCTCCAGGCCGGCCGGGTGATGGGGCGAGTTGGTGGTGCTGCTGCTGCCACTCCTCTGCCCTCGCCTTGCTCCTCCTGCAGCCGCAGGTACCCGCTCGTCGACCTCAGATGAGTGGGGTTGTTGGCGCCTCGCTGCTGCAGCCACCCGGGCGTCTCAAAGTGGTGTTCCCGCTCCAAGTGGTGCTCCGTCTGCAGATGACTCCGCAGACGGTAGAGCACGGCGCTGGGTACCGCTGTTAAGCACCCAGGTACCGGGCACCACGTCAGGGTGCAGATGCTGCGGTGGTACTCCGCGTGGTGATCCAACGCGTGCATCGTGGGTACCTGGCATGCCAGGCACCAGTACCACTGCTCGTTCTGCAGCCGAGGGGCGATCACTATGGCTCCCCCGAACTCTCGGTCGATCGGGCGACATCCGCCTCCTCGATGCGGCGGAAGCCGCAGGCCCTGAGGCACGCTGTTTAGGAACCCGGGGCGCAGCGATGGGCGCCTCCCGCTTCAGGGATGGCCGAGGGGCGGCCACAGGTCTGGCCGGGTCGTTCACCACCACGGCCGCATACGGTCGCCCGTCTTTCCAGGCCGGCCGGGTGATAGGGCGAGCTTGTGACACTACTTCTCGGGCCTCGCCGGACTCCTGCAGCGCCAAGTACCCGCTTTTACCGACTTTCGGTACTTGGGATTGTCGGCGCCCTGCTGCTGCATCCACCCGGGCATCTCGTAGTGATGATCCCGGTCGAGGTGATGCGCCGTCTGCAGGTGGCTCCTCAGCCGGTAGAGCACGGCGCTGGGCACAGCCATCAGGCACCCAGGCACCGGGCGCCACGTCAGGGTGCAGGCCCTGCGGTGGTACTCCGCATGGTGATCCACGGCATGCTTGGTGGGCAACCGGCATGCCAGGCACCAGTACCACCTCCCGTTCTGCAGACGGGGCGTGATCACAATTGCCCCTCCAAAACGTGGGAACGCCGGCCCTGCCCTGTGCCGAAGCTGCTCTCGGGTGGGCGAGTGCCTCTGTCGATACAGAGGTCCAGCCGGTCTTCTTACCAGAATGAAAGGCCTCGGGGCCTTGAAGGGATGCTACGTCTTTTGACAGCACTTATTCTTCTGGGAGTCGAGGTAACACAATGTATTTGCGATTCTGGCCTTGTCTCGCACAAATTTAGCCAAATGCGACAAATTCGACTCGATATCAGACTCGATCAAGTTATCTGCTTTGTCTACCCACTTACCACGAATATGGTATGGAAGGCGCTTTACTATTTTCTGCGGTCGCAGAGATGATGCACAGAGTATATTCAAACCGATGAGTACAGAGAGTGTCAGAGAGATTGTCAGAGAGCTGTGTCGCACATTTCGTGCACGCGGTTTTATACGTCTGTCCGGTCTATTGTCCTTCTCCTGGCCACTTCCACTAACCACTTAACAATATAACACATAACTTTAAACTATGGACTTGCACACATTTGCAAATTACTTCAGATTTTAAAATGTTGGTGATTATACATTTTGATCTATGTTACTTGCTTGTTCAGCAACATCGTCTACTGGCAAGTCTTCTGGCAATTCTCTTTCTGCCAGGTCTGCTGGCAGTATTTCCTCTGCTGCATCTAAAAATCAATTTTTCAAAAGATTTAATACA